CTTTTGACTCAGTTGAGATAGAAGCAATCATGGAAGCACTGGACGGTCAAGAAGTCCCTACTCGGTGGATGAAGATTCTTCGTGATCTGCATAAATAATGTGCATTTTACAGCCAAGGTATTACCGTTTTACAACGACTTTAACATCAACGTTAAAAGAGTGGTTATGAAAGGCGATACCATCTCGCCAAAATTATGTATCGCCACCCTCGAAAACGCCATATGAAGGATTAGGATAACACGGGAGTGAAAATTGATGGTCGGCAATTACGCCATCTTCGGTTTACTGATGACATCGTCCTTAAAACACCAAACTTTGATAAAGTCTGTGGAAAGATTGGTCTTCAACCAAATCTCACAAAAACAATATTCATGAGGAATGGATTTGTTTCGTATGCCCCACTCACGCTCAACGGAACGATTATTGAGCAGAAGGGAACGAGCGGCTTGAGGAGTTCTCAAGAGCATCGAGTATGTAGCGAAGAGAGCAATGAACACCGGACTCCGTGCCCACCTTTTCGACTCCACTATGCTTCCTGCCTTAACGCATGTGTCAGAAACGTGGTTGCTGCGTAGGCAGGATGAAAGATCACTCAGCCTTATTGAACGAGCAGTCGAAAGGACGTTGCTAGGAGTATCTGGTTCCGTTTCTAGACCTTAACCACAGACCGTCACTAATTCTCTTGGATTATCGTGCGGTTTGATTGAGAGAAGTATTCGATAAGGTCCCTTATCAGTCACTTACAAACAACATCTTAATAAATATTGTCTTCAATGAGTACCCTTTTCTCTTTTAGGAAACCATCTTCCTTTACAGTGGTGGTTTTTTTAATCTCAGAATAATACTCATTGATGTTTTAAAGACCGATTTTGCTTTAACCTCGGGCAAATCAGAATGTGTTTAAATTATTGAACTTACATGAGGCTGACAAAAAATCTCATTCGGTTAGCGTTTCGACATCTTCGTCAAAGCTGGTACTACTCAACTCATTGAGTACAAATACTTTGAACCGTTTTCCACATGATATTGGCATTGATCAGATCGTATTTGCACGATTTTACATCGGGTGTTGTTCTCCAGCGCGAATATTCTGTTATTTCGACCATTAACGGTTTTCGGGTACCATCCTTATTTACGCAACCTGCGTTTGGTTAGCTGGCCGCTTACGTGCTAACCAACGCGTGGCTATGGAGACTGGGACTCACATCATCCTCACCTAAACTGTAATGTTACTTGTAATTCTTTTTATATGTGCTGTACAAGCGAGAATCTTCCACAAAGTGAGTTCCGCGTGCAGCTTCTTATTCGTTATTGAAAGATACTCGTTATTGCAACGTCTTATCGAAATTAATTTTATCGTTCCAAGCTACTGTAGGAATGGTACGAGTAACAATGAGACTGCTACAAGTATTCTTTCTTTGATGAGCTTACACGAGGTTGATAATGATGTTTATTTTCGGCTAACGTTTCGACGTCATCGTCTTCCTCAGAGCCGATGATCCGAGTCGATGGTCCTCGCTTGTTATTCGCCTCGACGTGGCAGCTTCGCCTTCGTGTCGAGTTAGGTCTTCTTCAGTGAGCCATCTCCTCGAATGAGGCATCCTTACTCAGTGATGCCCTTTTATACACGTTAGCCGAAAATAAACATCATTATCAACCTCGTGTAAGCTCATCAAAGAAAGAATACATATTGATTAGTGATACCGAGGTTCAGGGAAAGTCGGTTTCGAAATACTGCTACAAGTGTTTTGTTAGCGTTTTTGCTTGTTCTTTCTCACTAGGTTCTTCACTTGTTCGCTTTTTCGCTGAGAGTAGAAGCAGCGACGACATGTTTCTGAGGTTGAAGGCTTAGTGAGAAAGCCTCTCTTGTTGTTTCAATTTTTTTTCATTCTCCCAATGAGAACATGAAAAGTGCTGGGTAGCCCTAAGCACACTGTCTTCCTTATAAATAATGCGAAAATGTCGAACAGTGGCCTTTGGATTACAGATTTCGTAGGAGAGGAAAAAAGTAATGCGAAAGTCTCTGTTGTAAATTTCCTAAAGATACACTCCGGACCGCAGGTGTTTGCGGTGGGGAATGAACGCACTATTATCCTCTCCGGAGGCTAACGCGTTCACCACCACACCATGTGTGTCCTTCGTTTCGCCTGTCTCTCGTTTTTTATCAAATGTCATTTGTTTACTATCGGAGTGGCGCTTGATGTAACGCAGTGCATCTCTGTACTACCATGCACATCGCTGGTTCGACCAATGTTGTAAAGTTGTAGCGCAGAACAACGAATATTATGAATTGCGGATAAGGTGGTCGTGGAACTACTGCCGTATTACCTAAGCCACTTCTTCAGCAAAAAAAGGCGCTCGCAAAGCAAATAAAAAGAATAAAGAATTCAGCATTCGGCGTTATTGAATCCCTTGCTGATGCTATGCATCGGCGTCCACTTACAACATCGTGGATGTGATTGAATGCATGTTCAATCTTAACAATGACTTATCGGATCTCATCGTTGATTCAACTAGAGTTTTCTTACTCGCAGGTAAGTATGGCACCAATTTGGCGACTCTGGAAGAGTAGAGGGCTTGGTGAGCCTGGAGCACATGAGTGAACTAACGGCCACGTGTGTATTGCAAAGTACTTCTTACCGATAAATAGTATAATCCCTAAAACAATACAAAGCTGAGGTTCTTCCTTTTTCCACGCTAGTGGCTTGTCCACTTAATGGTGGGCCGTTTGATGTTTTACAATGCAGGCCGAACGGCTTTTTGAACGCCGTTGAAAAGTCGGCGCAATGGTTCCGAAAGTCAATAGCTTGCTATCTATCACCAATTTTAGCAATTTTCAGATATCCACAAATGAAGGAGAAGTTTCTAACCAGAGTCGATTGTCCTTTCTTGGTGCAATTCTTCGCTTAAGCCGCTTTAGGTTATTCTGCGTAAGCCGAAATTGATATATGCATTGCAGATATATTACTTTTTGTATTTACACGGACCGACCTCACTCATTACACGGATCCCAGCACTTTTTTAATCTTTTTTGTTGTCTTCTATCCATAATCCATGAGGGTTTTGAAATTGGCGGTTGAGTGCGGCTGCAATTCAAGCGCTTGATCTTTTTCACTAATATCGTTTAATATGCGTCGAGGCAATTCATGACAGAATCCTGGGATAACTCTATACGAATGTTCCCAGGTTTCCACCACATAGACGGTTGCCGTCCCTTGTTGATCAGGAGAAGTTTTTTTCAGACAAGTGTAGTACCAGTTTACCGACCACGGAAAGACAAGGTTTGGAAGGCGTGGAGCTGGTCCGAAGTCGAGACTGTGTGTGCAGCAGCTGTAAACAACCACTGCGCTTGCGGTTCCCTTAAGGAAACATAGGAAATCGAAATGTAGTTAGCTGCTCGAAAGAAGCTAAAGAAAGAAGCTAATATCGTTCTGACTGCTCAGCTTATAAGAGATCGATATAAAAACTTTGTTCGACTAACGGTGCCTTCACTTTCTTCAGAGCCGCCGTGATTCGTGTCGATCGTCCACGTCCCATTCACTGAACTTATCTCATTAGGGCAATACTCCACCCAACTACATTCATTTAGACACGCTCAAGAATGCCCACATATGAATGCGTCGTTTTGTTGTTCAGCAATCGCGAGGTTTTTAAACAGCATACATTTACTTCCATAGAGAAACACAATGCAATACAACACTGGCTGACGTTTCGGCAGTATCGCCTTCTTCAGAGCCGCTTTTTTATGTGGCTTCCAATAAGGAAGTTTCCAAGTGAGTCATCAACCATATGCGACTATAATCAGCTGTTCTAAACTTTCTCATTGGAAGTCGATACTGCGATACTGCCGAAACGTCAGCTAGTGTTGTATTGTATTGTGTTTCTCTATGGAAGTAAATGTATGCTGTTTAAAAACCTCGCGATTGCTGAACAAGAAAACGACGCATTCATATTCCAATACCGAGGTTAATAGTAAGTCGATCCTAGGAATGCCCACATAGAAATTTTTTTCAAATTTTTGCATTTTTGTGTAAATTTGATCGCGACCATATGTTTCGTTTGCCATTTCTGGAATCTACGAAGTTACCCACATGACCTTTAGCTTCGTTTGTGGTAACGGTAACCTTTATACGTTGGCTATTTTCAAAGAAAAACACGATTGTCTTGATCCAAACATCGTTCTTTTGAACACTTGCCGCACTCAGAAATCAGACACTCGTAGGATATTGCGTTGCCATTAGATTGGAAATTTGGGATTAAAGCGGTTATGGATGGCGAAATCCGGATTGGCTCATCATGGTTTTGGAAACTTAGAACTTGCGCTTAGATTAAGTAGATTCCTTTCGTATATTGCTCTACAAATTCCTTTGCTTAGCTTCCGAAATCTGATAAACTATTAGTGGAAGCATTTTTGGACTAGCTTTTACATCAGTATTGACTGTACACCGTGGGTTTCAACCCTTTCGTGCTTTTAAAAACGTTCATGGTTCATTTTTGGAAAATTTTGGTCCTGAACTTGTGATTAATGTGGAAATCTGACGATTAAACGTAAAATGAACAAAATGGTACCCTAAATAGCATTTTCGTTGTTTACATCCCATTGGTCATCGAGCAACTACGGACAAGGTCATGAAGTCGTAATTCGTCCTCGTCAATCGTCAAAACTCCGCAGTGAAATCAACTAGCTCTAGAGCAACGAAAAGCATTACCTCTTTGGCATTACGTGGTGTTTTATTGTTATTTTCAGCAAAAAGATATCCACAGGTTTTCCGTTAGGCTCTGCCACATCATAGGTTTATTCTTAGCTCAACTTCCATTCAAAACGTCGAGTTCATTTCCAACTTGGGTGAATCCACTATGGTGAAGAATACCATACTGCAGTTCCAGGAACACACTCCTCAACCACAACCAGGCATGAAATCATCAATGGTGCAAATAAAATGTAAAAAAAAATGAAATCTTTAACGTGATTTAACTTCCCTAGTACCACCTATGGAAGCATGGTCATTCGGGATACTTTTTACTTCGATTCCGTGTAGTGGTTTTCGAAGTCAAAGTGAATTCTTACGGCACCCAAAATGAATAACGCCTCATATTCCTTATTTTTCGCAATACTTTACCGTGGGATGTCCTGATGTCCTGAGGACTAAGGACATATGGAATACCCTGATACGACTTTTGAGACTTTAAGATAAGAAAACCTTACCCAACCAGGAAACCACCAGTAAGATACAAATTTTGTTGGGATCCACCGTACTCTTCGTAATTGGTTAAGCAGCAACCATCTAAGTATTTAACTGTTTAAATAAGTATTTTGAGCATTAAATAGCTGCTTTACATTAGTATATCTACATGTGTAAAATTATTAAACACGATTTCTCACTGGATACACTCACCTTTTGTAGCCGCGAGAGTTTCGTTGTCAGTCGATGATCGTGTTCGGCGACAGTCTCTCTGATGATGGCGTGGAAGCCGTGGGCGAATCACATGGCTTCATGCGAAACTCAAATGGAAAAGTATGGCCGGAATATTTGGAGCAAATGTTGCAGTGTGATATGGTACGATTCAGAAACGATGACAGCTATTAAAACCATGCATCCACTGCAGTATCCGGCACGATGTGATTCTAATCCTCATTGCCCTATCACAGTGTTGTTTTAACCCTTTCACGACCACACTATTCAATGTACACACTGCTGTACGTTTTGGACCGTACATCTTGGTTTCAATGCGGGTTGCGATTGCGTCTCACTAAAACGCAGTCTGACGAAGCGTGATACCGGAAAATGGCCGTGAAGGGATTAACGACCTTGTGAACATAAATTGTTAGTGAGGTGAAATCAGCATTATTATAAAATAAAAAAAGCTGTCGGCGTTAGTCAATCCCAGAGGGTAGCGCCATACTTTCGACTTCATTAAGTATTTTTGGAGGTGATTGGATGCATATATGGCCTTTAGAATGACTCGCGGTGGCTTACCGATGTATCAAGCCAGTGCTCCTCTCCTCTTAGACAAGTCTGGTACTAATTTGCTGACCCCGAAGGGATGGAAGGTTCGGTGGGCCATGGGCGTGGAGATTGATACCACGTGTGTGTTGCAGGACGCCTCCGACCACTGCGGTACGCGTCCCACATTATTATATGACAGTAAAAATTTGATAAGTGGTACTAAAATCTTCTTATAAAAATACCTAGGTGTGTGACTTATGTGGAATTTCATTTTCGTTGGAATATAGTCATAACTGTTAATTTTTCACCATTGTTGTGATAAAATCAGACCTAAGAAAAGGAATTAGGCGAAAAAATATCTAGAGTAAAAAATGCGATGAAGCATACGATTGGGACGTCTCAGGTTTCCAGTTACCCATTTTTCGAGGCTCAAATGTGACACATGGTTTGTTTAAGGTTTCAACTAGGTGGACCTCTCAATTTCCTTTGTCAGTTAAGAGAATATTAGATGCTTCGCTCAACCAAATATAGTAAAAGAAAGGCCACAAACGTTGCTACTTCTGTAGAAAACATTATTTAAGGAGATGGTTGTGACTTAGTCACAATAAGAAAATCATTATAACTTCCAGAGTGGGCGTGTGGCGCAGTGGTTGGAGGCGGGAAATCGATCCCCGCGCCCATGGCCCACCAAGCCCTCCATCCGTCCGGTGTCGGCAAATTGGTACCAGACTTGTCTGGGAGGATACCAACACTGGCTCGATAGTTGATATATTTATTTATGTGATCTTATAAACTGATCTTCCCAAGCTGACGCGAGGTTAGTACAGCTCTTCGTTGTCGTTGTCGTTGTTTTTGATGTTATTGATCGATCGCCGAAACGTCAGCCATCGATCAATAACATCAAAAACAACGACAACGACAACGAAGACATGTACCAAACTGGCTCGATACATCGTTAGGTTATCGCGAGTCATTGTAAAGGCCAGATATGCATTCAATCGCCTCCAACGATACTTAATGAAGTCGAATGCATGGCGCATCCCGCAGGGACTGATCAACGCTTACAGCACTATTCTTTCTATCCTTTTATAACTTCCAGTGAAAAGTAGTCCAATGAAAGATCGTGGAAAACTTCAGGAAGCTAATCTTCTCGTCTCCCTTAAAATCTTCAATCAGGCTTTCCATTAGAAAGTTAAGATCTGTGACACTACGTTGCTTTATGTAAACTAACTAGTGACCCGGATGATGTAGTGGTGAAGTGCGCTGCTCCCCAGTAAGGACAACAGCGCGTGTTCGTTCCCCACTGCATACACCTGTGGTCCAGAGTTTTGCAAATATCTCAGCACTTCATACGAGTTATATTTCACAACATACCCTGCCATTAAGAAGAAAAAGGCAGTAAATAAAAGAGTTAAGATTGTGATTATAACTAGTTATCCTTCTTTTATTTATTGTGTTTCGTTTACAAATCTACTATGCTGCTCCCAGCAACCTACATCCTCGCTTCCTCGGTTGCATAATCCACGAAAGTCTCCGAACTTTTTGCATGTGAGTTTGGCTGCTTCTTGCGGATTGTCTTCTTCTTCTTCACGAGTTCGTTCAATGCTGGTCGAGCCGATAAACTAGTGAGAAACCAGGAAACTAAGGATAAAGGATAAACTTCTCGGCATTGATCAATCCTGAGGCATTCGCCATGCGTTCGGCTTCATTAAGCATCGTTAGAAGTGACTGAAAGCACATTTTCCCTAAAATGACTCGCAGTGATCTATTGATGCTTCCAGCTACTGCAGCCATCCGCTTAGACAAGTCCAATTTGCTGACCCCGGAGGGATGGAGGATTTGGTAAGCCTGGAGCACTGGACCGATCCCGTATGTATTACTGGGCGCCTCCGACCACTGCGCTACACTCACCTGTCAGAAAACTAAAGAAAAACAAAAACGTAAACTAAGGAACACATAATGGTTTTGGGAACGGCGATCTTAAGTGAAACCAATCAACGCATTGTTTTACCGTGTCTCGTCAGTTCGGTGCCGCGACAAAAACGGTGCGTGGTATGAGCAATTTGTTGTCGTGTAATCTGATACAAAGGACAATTGCCATAAATTGATCAACATATTCAGCTTACGTACTCTTTCGATCAATTTCACTTTTTCAGTACACCAACTTCGCATACAGTGGCGCAAAGAGCGGCCGCGACAATTTTTATTTTGAAGGCTGGTCAGGTGTAAGATGGCAGGTCGAAAAATATCTCGAAAGTAATCTCTACATTAGTGGAGGTTAGATTTTCAGACTTTTCTTACATAGTCTTAATAAGCCACGTTTTAAGAGAATTTTTTAAGTTTTGAATTTCAACAGGTAATATTCTTCAGAGCCGCTGATAATCTTTCAAACCGGAGGGGTCATCGACTTCTTCTCAGGCGAAAAAGATGCCACTAATGTAGTGGCGAATATTGAAGCGAGTATTGAGAACATTACACAGGTACAGTTATGCAACTGCTTACGAACTGTTTCTTAAGTTGCTACTTTACGGCCGGAACGTAATCGGTTCTATCAAGCCATCATTAGTTATTAGCTATCATCACCTTAACAGCGCGTTCAGCAAGGGTTTATGCACAGCCAACAAGAGGGCTCGGAAATTTGATAGGTTTGCCATTAGCAGAAATCCGAAACCGTTCTATAGAAGAAGTACTAAAGTTCTGCAACCGTTTATCAATCGCGGATCTCTATGAGAAGAATACCATTTGCTCCAAAATTGAAGCCTTTTATAGTCCTTTCAAATTCTGAGCGTTTTCCTGGATAATCTCAAAAAGAGGGACTTACCACATAGTTTTAAAGAACTAGGAGTAATCTCAGCTTGGGGCATGGTTGCCTGATGAATGAGTTCGAACTAACAACCCTGTGTGTATTTGCTGAGCATTCCTGACGGCTACGCTACACGTCCGTTAACTTGTCTTTTATAAAACCTATTTCTTACTCTTTAACCTATAGTGGGCGACATGGACTTGTACGTTCTCCGCACGAGTAGTAGGTGTGATTTCTAAAGAGCTCATTTTCAATTTCAAGCATTTATTTTGACCATCCGCTAGCTTATCGAGAGCAGGTTAATGTAGAAGCACTAAGAAAACCGTTTTCTACACTTAATAATTTACAAACAAACTTTTTCTCGTGCAAGTTCATTGCTAGGGGCTGGGCAGCACAGTAGTAATGATCTCGATAATCATGAGATGGTTTGATCTCACCAATCCTCTCATCCCTCTGCGGTCAGGAAATTGGTACTGGACTTGTCTAGGAAGAAACTTGTTCTCGGCAATCCAAGTAGGAACTCCCTATCCTAGTTATCTCAGGACTCCAAGGTTAGTCGAGTCGACCAACATTCTACGACATTCAAGATAAAGTGAAAATCCTCAAGCAGTAACCGAAGCTGCACGTAAAAATTGGAAGGCCAATGTGGTTGATCGGTACGAGAAAACGAATCGAATGTGAGAAGTGCTGGGCTCTGCACAGTAGATGTGAAATACGGGTCGTATAAAACAAAATAAAAAAATAAAATGATAAGGTTGGAGAGTTCGTTGTAATTCTCCATCAGTTAGATGTTGAGATAACGGAAAAGCACCTTGAAGATGCTTCTCTTTATAGTCCGTCGTTTGGGAAGGAATTAAAAGTAAATACCGAAAGTTAAACAACGAATGGGGTAAAGTGGCAAAAGCGGCAGGGCTAAAACCATCAGTTATTTCTCATCTCAAAATCGACTTACCAACATGTCCTGTCCTGTACTTACTTATCAAAACGCATAAGTTAGTATCCAGCGATGATCTCGTGTCTACCGTTCCATCGTTATTTAAGGTTAGACCTATCGTTAGCTGCGTGGACGGGCCAACGGATAGAATAACGTGGTTAATAACCCTAATACTTAGTTGTTGAAGTACATTCCAGCTCATCTAACGAACACCCAAATGTTCCTGGATCGTCTACGTAACGCGCGACCCAACAGCGCGTACGTGGTGGAGTCCTTCGAGGTCACTGCCCTGTATACGAACGCGTCGAATGACTCCGCTATGCAAGCCATAAACGAGCTCCTTATACAACACGAAGGAGCAATAAACATGTACGGCTTGTCGATTCAGCAGTTGATGACATTCTTAAAGGAGTGCCTGAACTACTCAATCTTCAGATGGTCCGAGAGGTATTACGCACAAATGAGAGGGCTGGCAAAGGGACAACGACTGGCACCAAGCCTTGCCATTGCATTCATGTCTAAGGTGGAAGCGCCAGTAATCTACCTCGGTCCGTTACTCTACTCTAGATATATAGATGACTGCTTGGTCATTTGTTCAACACAAGAAGAAATTGACAGATATTTCGAGTCGTTGAACGAACAGTCAGAGTATATTAAATTCACCCGAGAGAAACCAAAAGAAAACTGGCTTCCATTTCTGGATGTGCAAATCAACCTATCAGAAAACGGCTACATTATGAAATGGTATCGAAAGCCAAGTAGTAAAAACATCCTAGTTCATTACCTCTCCTCTCACCCCTCTCACACGAAAAGGGCGCTTGTGAGAAACATGTTTCGAACAGCTACCAACGTGTGCACAGGAAGACAACAGAGAGAGGAGTCCCTGAACTTGGCGCGGCAAATAGCCATTTTTAATGGCTACGGAAGTGTAGCTCGAGATATGTGTAGAGGAAACCACAGGTACCCAAACGACAACTTTAGCGACAGTAAGGTCCCGTTTATACTGCCTTTCATTTCAAATGAAGTAAGTGCAGCTATAAAACGCTGTTTAAGAAGGGCCAGTCTAGAGAATTTGGTAACGATAATCGAAATACCACCGAGTAATCTAAGGCGCCAGCTAGTTCGTAACCGCCTGTACGACCGTCTATGTTCAACGCAAAATTGCATAATTTTCCCCAATGGTAGAGATGGTGACTGCATGAATTCGGGCACAGTCTATCTGATCTCTTGTAAAGCGTGCGGGAACGAATACGTTGGCGAAACGGGTAGACCACTCTGCGTACATATGAAAGAACACCTAGTCGGCAAACGTAAACCAAATACTCCACTAGGCACGCATACGACGCAGAGACATTACAGAGATTTTGAAGTAAGGGTTACGATCCTCGCGCAGGAATCGAGAACACAAGCGCGCAAAACTCTAGAGGCATCGTGGATTGATTCAAAGAATCCAAAAGTGAACTGTAGGGAGGAGTGCCTCATTATCACGCCTGATATTGGGCAGTATATAAGCCTGTTATTTTGATGAGATGGGCACAATACGATTCAGTGTGAACTCTGAGCGGTTGGTCTCCACATAACATATTTAGTAGAAGACTCATAGAAAGCGGTGAGTGTGAAAAGAATGTGTTCAATGTGTTTGAAATTTTGGTTCAGTACTTTCTCTCTTTGGTTATGGAGGTGTTTGGCCGTGTAGATTGTAGTCAACTTGATCTTTCCAGGCTCTGAAGAAGGTGAAATTCCTGAAACCTCAGCTTGTACGTAAATAAAGAAATTAAGTAACACCTCGTGTTTGCTGATCACAAGTAGAAAGAAAAATAATACGTTTGGACTATTTGTACTAGTTTTTTCATTATATTTTTTATTTTTGTTTGATCCGTCTTCACGTCTACTGTGCGGATCCCAGCACTCCTCACATTCGATTCGTTTCCTCGCATCCATTGTCCACGAAGGTCTTCCAACTTTACGTATGGTTTCGGTTGTGCTTTGAGGATTTTCATTTCATCTTGAATGTCGTAGAATGCTGGTCGAGCAATTCTCCCTGGAGTCCTGAGATAGCCAGACTAGAGAGTTTCCAATTGGATTGCAGAGAGTGAGGTTCCCAGACAAGTCCGACACCAATTTCCCGGCCTCGGAGGGATGAGAGGCCTGGTTGGCCCGGAGCGGAATCGAACTAGCACCATGCTCGTGATGGTGGACATCACTACCACTTTTCACTATCTTTGTATATTAAAACACGAAAAGTTAGACATCAATTTATATCGTGAGGAAGCACCGTATAGTTAACTCCAATAAGCTTTGTAGAGGTGCCCAGAGCGATGATGGGTTTGATGAGCCGATGTAGAGGAATTGAATGGTGGCAATTTGTGAATTCCTCACGGCGCTTCTAGTCACTGCGCTACACGCAAATTATTTTTCACTATTTCATCATAAGTCACAAGGTTCTATCATGAGATATTCTAGTTGAATAGAGGCAGAATGAATGACAGCATAACGAAGTTCAGCAATTAATCACTACAGCGAAAAAGTGTATTTTCATGTGTTCGCAAAGAATATAGAAGGAGGCGGATCTTTCTTGTTCGTGGAACAATCGCGATCGAAGAGGCGGTCTTAAAATCTTAAAACAGTATCGCAACATTTGATCATATTTTTTATTTTTTCTTATTTTATATGACCCATCTTCACGTCTGCTGTGCGGATCCCACGCTACATTCGATTCTTTTCCTCGCATCCATTGTCCACGCATATCTTCCAACTTTTACGTGTTCCTTCGGTTGCTGCTTGAGGATTTTTATTTCATCTTGAATGTCGTGGAATGCTGTTCGAGCAATTCTCCTTGGAGTCCTGAGATAGCCGGGCTGGAGCGTTGCCAACTGGATTGTAGAGAGTGATTTTTTCCCAGACACGTCTGGTACCAATTTCCCAACCTCGGAGGGATGAAAGGCTTGGTTGGCCAGGAACGGAATCGAACTAGCACCATGCTCGTGATGACGGGTGTTTTATAATAACTACGTATAGTGATGGCGATGACGATGATGATTTATAATAGTCTATAGTTTATTAATAGCATTCGATGCTTTGAATGACCTGTCCTCACTGTTTGTGCGGATCAAGCATAATCTCCACTTTTCGGAGACTTGCTGGTTAAGTCATTGGAATCCCTGGAATCCCGAGGTCAGCTTGGCCGATGTCTGTCCCAGGTCTTCATCACTACAAGCAGTCGCAGCCCTTGTCGATCAGAGGGAGATTTTCCACCATGCGACTTTGATACCAGGACGGTGGTGGGTCCTGGTACTGGTTTACTCTTAGCTAGGCTGATTTTTGATGTAAACGCCGGACTCCTTATCAGCTTGGGAGACCCTGTCAGGTGATGAATCCTCCGCTGTACATCGCATTCCGACACCCAGGAATAACTACCAGCCACGATGAGGTGTAAACCGCTGGAAGAGATAATAATAGTTACATATAGTAAATAGTATTATGGATTACAATTCGTGCTCACAGAACGATGAAGCAGCACATCCTCTGCAATTCTGTTATGTTCACAACCCTAAAGTTCTCTGGTTATCGAAAGAATATTGTTTATTATTGGGAGGTTAGCAACTCCTTTAAGGCTGAATATTAGGTACTGTCCCAAGTGATGGGTCTGCTGAACGCCGTGCGTCGGTCGCGTGTTAATGAATTATAACACATTTTATTATCAAAAGACCATTTTTATTGCATTCACTACACGACTGATCCTAGAACCGTTTGAAGTATGCTTTCGTTTTGAACGTTATAGAGAAATTCGGCACAGATGTGGTCTTTATGTTGCAGGCGATGAGCTCCGGCACACTTTTTGTGCTTAGCGTTCTTGACCTTGGCACGTCACCTGGAGTACGAGCAGCGGAAGACAGCAGTGAACTCCAACAACGACTTGGTGAATTAGTGTCGGAAACCAATAGGGTGAGCCCATATGTGACTAAATTGTACACGGATACAATTGCGTGAGTTAGTGAAATGAAAAGCACCTGCCATATCGACAATAACTAAGAATTTCCTTATGATAGCTGGGTTTTACTGGTGGTGAGAAGTTAAATACAAAAACGCTGTCATTTTGAAAACAGCTTTGGAAAGACAAAGATGAAGTCAGAAGATTCAGTGCTTTCTGAGTAGAATATTTGGCACTGGCCAATGTGTTGATGTATGACGCCGCCAGAGGCACAAACCAGACTGTAAAATGAGCCTTGTGGTCCGACCTCTTTTGTATTTATAGCACCTTGCACGAATTGTATTTGATTCTGAGAAGGGAGCGCGTCGTCTCTATCCGAAACTACGTATTCGGTTGCTAGATATTAATCCGCTTGTGTTGGAGGCAATGAATTCGCTGAACATCACTGAACCATTCACGTACCATAACGTAGATATCGGGTAAGGACTTTCGTGCAATCATTTAGATCTTACGCTTTTATTTCTTTAATAGTTGTGAAATTCTTGATAAGACGAAGCTTTAAGAGGTCTTCGGCGCGGACCCAACTCTATCGGCATTTCTATGATTGTAACTGTTTTAACTATCAGTAAATATCAGTAGTTATCATTATTGTTTTCTTACGGGCTGCTTTTTACCTCTATACGACCATGCCTAATTTTGTGTGGCGACTGCGCGGGACCAAGGAGATTCCAAAAATCCATCGATCGAATATAAAAAATATACCTAACTATTTCTTTGCAGGAAGGCAAATTATCGCAAAGAATATGTGTTGATATAGATGCATGTGTTATTTATGTTTTAACAGGCTCATTTAAAGTTGCTAACCAACGTTGGGCACGAGTGGAACAGTGGTCGGAGGCGCCCTGCAACACACACATGATAACGATCCCCGCGCCACTGGCCCACTAAGCGTTCCATCCCTCCGAGGTCGGTAAATTGGTACCAGACTTGACTGAGAGGATAGCAGCACTGGCTCGATACATCGGTAGGCCACCGCGAGTCATTGTAAAGGCCGGATATGCATTTAGTCACCTCCAAACGATGCTTAATGAAGTCGAATTCATGGTGCACCCCTCAGAGATTGATCAACACCGGGAGCTTTATCTTTTGTCCTTTAATCCAACGTTTGGTCCGTAGTTGCTAAAGTTTCGTTGGGGACCGACTTCTTCAGCATTACTTTTCTGTTTCAGAATTTTTGAGAGCTGGAGCAGAGATTTGTATTTGTTTGTACTATATGTAAGATGTCCATTTTGTCAAGAAGACAGCAGTAATGGTCATGTTCAGAGCTTCCTAGCAATAGCAAGTGTTTCCAAATCCAAGGGCAAACTTATCCTTAAGCCGAATTAAAAGTTCTAAGCTATCCTCTGCTTGATGAATTCAATAAAAACAGAAGTCATTGGTAGAAAAACACATTCAGACCACGCTCCGTGTACAGTTACGCGTACTACGACCTCTGGAATCCTTCAACGATCGTCCATAACACACTTGCTGAAGAAATTGTCAAGCATTTGCAGAATTTCTAATCGTCTTCTGGTCCAGTTCACATGATTCTGCTTTTTCAGCATGTATTATGATCTACATCACAGTTTCGTTTCTTTGATTCACTTGTAGAATTGAGTTGCTCTTATAAATTATTGCCTTTTTGTGATATAAATAGTCTACTTGTTGTGTATGAATAAGTAAAAGAATACCTTCTTGGATTGTTAAGCTAACACGAGGTTGATTAAGAGATTTATTCGGCTGACTTTTCGACGTCTTCATCTTCATCACAGCCAATGATCCGAGTTGATATCCACAGTACTTCGTACTCTCGATGTAGTGTGTTCGCCGTGGCATCGAGTCAGATGTTCCTCAGTGAGGCACCGCTCGAATCGATGAAAGCTGCATATCCAGAGAACGAACAACCATGAATCATCGACTCGGATTATCGCCCTTGATGGCCCTGATAAAGACGTCGATACGTTAGCCTAATAGATCTCTTTATCAGCCCCTCGTGTTAACTTAACAATCCAAAAAGGCTTTGCTTATTACTACCGAAGTTAAATGACGGTAGCCTTCTAAATTAAATGGAGGAACGTTTCTACAGTCGTTGTGAAAGGAAATTTAGAGTTTCGGACACAGTCTTATGAGATAGTAAATCGTTTTTTAATACTCATGAGAGACCGTGCCCCTTGGGTATCATCTCCATAGCTGGAAATTAACCGAACCTTTTGTCGGATCTTTTTTTGAGGATTCTCGAAGAAAAATATGATGTCTTAACGTATTCTGATCGAATAGAACCAAATTAGAACCTCTGATCTCGGAACGAACGTTTGGAGCATGTCGCTGAACCCTGCTCAAGTCACAAGATGAGCAGGGCTCAAGAACAGGTCATATGGTACCAACACCCTTTTTAAAGAGAGCACCTGTACATACCTCTGTGATGTTGTTCTTTCGATTTGGTGCTAGTGTAATGTAGTGGTTATCTCTGCCCTGTTTCTCTTGTTCGATCACTTTTCCGGATTCAAAACTCTTCCATCTCTCTTGAATCAGAAATTTGCGACTGCATTTGTCTGGGGGAATAAAACACAGACTTGGTTATAGCAGTACACTTCTGAAAAATTGCATAAACCAGTATGGCAAATTTCATTCTGATCTACAAGGGCGATGACTACCTGGGGTGGTGAAGACCTGCAGCAGACTTTGGCCTGGCTGACCTCGGTACCCCAGGGGAAGACCATGCCTAAACCAACAAAACTCCAAAAGTGGAAATTATGCTGGGGCTCACACAACCAATGGAGAAAGGCCATTCAAATATCAAATATCAAGCTGAATGCATGTGATATGAATCTATACAAGGATACGGGCTGTCAGCCTGCAAGCGCGGTGGGCAAAGGATTAGGAAGTGTGTCACGCGGATACAAAAAGCCTTCCTTTAACGCTAACGACATATTCCAGTAAACATCCAACCGCAAGAAATCTTTGAAGCTGACACTTTCCATCAGTTCTTATCCACAAACTACGGAAGCAAACGGCAACGAAAATGAAATAGCAAGGGATCTGTTTTCTAGTGGTTTAGTCAGGAATATCGTGAGGTTAGAATCAAAAATGGGAAAGAGTCTGCCCTACCTAGCAGTATCAACGACATTTGAAGCTGGTAGATACGTATTTCTGCTAGCCAGCATTCCAGCTCCTTGGCTGTGCTTGCTGAAAAAGGAAGATATGCAAAATAAACACGACGTAAATGTGCGTAAATGAAGAAGTAATCCAGACATTTCATCAATGCTTGTTTGAAGAGCTCGCAAATAAGCTAAGACTTCGACATCGCAAGTGGTGGACGATGTGGACACATTTCAAGTACACTAAAGGTATGGACTCAATGTTACACCAAATATAACATAAATATAGTGATTACTGCAAATCGTTTAAAAACCGTTCTGGTGGCAGAATGCATCTGGATGTCGAAATTCAATGTGAATTAGGGTCTTCCAAACTTCCCTGAGAAGATGTTTGACATTTCCATCTGGTAACTGAGTTAGGAGTGAAATTGACAGCGCTGGTGGCAACATCTAGGTTATGTTTCTTAATGTGCCAAATCTTTCGCTATCATAAAATCGTGTATCATGTGAAATACAACCAAGATAATGCTGAGATATTTGCAAAACTCCGGACCACAGTTGTCTGCGGTATGGAACGAACGCGCTATTACCCTTTCCTGGTGCTAACGCGTTCACCACCACACCATGCGGGTCCTTCGTTTCGCCTGTCTCTTAGCTTGTTCTATTGATCAGTGCTGTCAACAATCACCCGTCAACATGACTGATCTGAAGAGCCCACATCGGTATTGAACCCAGTTAAGCTGAGGCTTTAGTTGAAATCATAGTGTTATGGTTCTTCGCTTAATACCCTGCCGTAAAAAATTGTAGTAGGCAGAAAATAAAAAGTGAAACATTCTGATGCTGAGATATTAGCAAAACTTGGATTCAGGAGCATACCAAACCACGGTTACCCTTTCCGGTGGCTGGCGCATCACACATTGCACCACAAATGCTCTTTTTCTGCGTTTCTCTCAGCTAGTCCTCAACCTAACGGTGGCACCAGCAATCACCCATCAGTGGGATTGTTCTGAGAATCACAAATCGGCATTGAACCCAGTTAGGCCGAGGTTGTACTGGAAATCACAATGTTAACCTTTTATCTTCTGCCTACTGTAATTTTTCACGGCAGATATGAGGTGAAATATGATGTGATGGTTCGATCTGGCCTTGGGTCTAAGTTTTGCGATTATCTCGGCATCGGTTATATTTATTTTTTAGTGAACGTAGCTTGACTTGTGTGTGAGGGATAGATGAAAATAACGAACAAAATCTTGTGTTGTCTAATCTGACGAAATTTTTTGACAACTGTTATAACTATAGCTTAGACTATGAATGAAGGAGAAATAAGAGTATTAAACAAAAATCTGGTCTTATGTAATTCGACTGGCCTTCTATACTAACTAGTATTCCACTTTTCCCCTGTTTTGAAATACACTTCAAATAATGCGCCAAGCAGTATGCCATCCGCTTACAGGCGAAAAACCCAAAAATATGCGTGAGAAAATTTCTCGGCGTTACTTTGGAAGTTGAACAAAAGTCATTTTACTGTAATGAAGTAGCAGGGTTCATTCCCTGAATTAGTTAGTGTTTCAGGTCATGTGATAGATCGCCTTGGACCGTGTTTAATCCTCTAGCTTGACAACGAATCCGCTTAAGAACTCTTATAGGAGAAAGATCGGTGTCGGGTCTTCAAATATATCGTTTAATCGGCTTGTCTAACAAAATTTTTTTTCCTTGCACCAAACCTTATGCTTACGGAGCCCTGCGTCCGTTCGTAGTTTACCAACAAAATTTTTCGTTTTTGCCATTTTATCAGAAATGCGACGCTTTTCAAAAGTCCGTATTTATTACTTAGTAGCTTAGTTGAGTTGCTCTTCCACTATGTGCTTATTTACAGTAGCACGGAATAATGACTCCCACTCTTTCTAACACATGAATTGCATGTCTTCACCGATCGTGAACTCGATCCATCGCAATTTCTCATCAATTCTAACTTTCCGATAATATGCCATAGGGATGGTCAAGCGATGTACTGCTCTTAAGGAGTATAGTTAATGAGGTCGTTGGGTATTTCAAAAATTAATGCCCACCTCTAACCGTGGTTTCAAAGTGACGTATCTCACTTTAGAATGAACTATATTGATCAGAATGAGAACCACTAGAATTTAGAAAAATTGTAAATGTATTCATATTAGTTACGAGCAATTCTTGACTTATTGAAGCGATGTAGTCGTAGAAGACAGTACTGCGCAGTGCTCGTTCTGAAAAATTTTTCGTGTAGGAAGTTATCGAGATCCTTGCAGGGGTGATAGGCGGTGTGTGGGAGGTTATGAGAGTATGGTTTATGAGGCAAAGTTTCGTAACCCACCTGTTTCAACTTCTGAAACGTTGGTATTACGAGATTTAGACGCGCGTTGTCATGATAGATTGGTACCTCTTTGCTTTCCAATACGGTGAGCTGAAGTTCTGGATGCATTCCGTCTCTTTGTTGGCCCTGCTTCTATGTTCAACCAGATTCATGAAGCTGCAATAGAGAGAAGCAGTAACAACCATCAAAGATCAGAGTCACCTTCCTCTGACGCAATTTTGGATTTAGGAAAGGCTGCGGTGCTTTGCCGCGATTCTGAGCTAGTCGTCGCCAGGTGTTGGAGAGGATCTATTTCTCATTCTACATCAACAACAGCTGAAAATCGGTAGGGATGCACGGAAGAGGAGAAATACCGACGGCACCACAAACCGGCGACTTCTTTCAATGCCGTTCGCCAACCATTTGTCTAGCTTCTTCCATCTTCTAATGTGCTTTAAATGTTCCAGTGATGTTGAGATCCTCACACCAAGCTCTCCCTCAAGTTCTATTAATGTGTGCTGTTGTCAGCGTCAAACGTAATGTCATGCACATGTTTGAACCAGATAAGATGCGTCGGCTGCTAGGACGTGCTTCCAGTATTGTATCATCCGACTCCACGACTTCTTGCTTGTCCTTCATCTACCTGTCGTCAGGCTCATCCTTTCGTGGCAGATGTCTAACGACGAAACATGGTTGCATGCAGCATTATGAATAGTTTTCAGTGGAAAAAGGTAAGCGCACAGGTAAAAAGGATAAAGCTCTTGGCGTTGATCAATCGCGGAGGGATGCGTCATGTATTCGACTTCATTAAGCAACATATGGAGGTGACTGAATACATATCTGGCCTTTACAATGAGTCGCGGTAGCCTGTCGATGTGTCGACCCAGTTTTGCTATCTTCCCAGACAAGCCTGGCACCGATTTGCCGACCTCGGAAGGATGGAAGGCTTGGTGGGCCATGGGTACGGGGATCGATTCCATGTTTGTGTAGCAGAGCGCTTCTGACCGCGGCACTACACGCGTCCAATAGCGCACAGGTGCATTTCTAATTTTTGCCAGATCTTATCATAGAAAATCTTCAGCTCTTTTCGTTAATTTTTTTTAGTCTTATTGTTTGTCAGTTCTTTCTACTTTGACGTCTATGTTTGACCATTCAACTTGATATAATAAGTTTTTTTTTACCAGACGAAGCCGTTTTCATCAGCACTGTTACCATTTTTTACATGACCCGTCGTCACATATACTGTGTGTATCTAAACACTTCTTTCATTTGATTCCTTTTTCTCGCATTCGTCGTCCACAATGGTGTTCGAACATTTAGCATGTTGTTTTAGCTAGTGCTTGAGAATTTCGCCTTCTCTACTAATGTCGCAGAATGCTAGTCGAGTTAATTCTCCTTGCAGTCTTGGAGATGGCCGAGTTAAGGAATTTCCTCACTGGTTGGAGAGCTTTGAGGTGGGGAAGGGGGTCGAACTGGCGCCGTTGCTTTCTTTTCGACAGCATCATTAGCCAGAACTATTCGTTATACAGGAAGTGGATCAAAGTCGCCTACAGCAATGAACGGCAAGTGTGGTACTCTGAGTTACTTCCCACGGTAATTTTGGAGACCAATACTATTTCACTGAGAGCAAAAGACGTTGAAGGACATTGTAAGAGCAATGCGACACTCCATGTCTTTCCAGAAATGAGTCCAGTTATAGCTTTCGTTCTCGCCAGGGAAAAGTGGAATTTGAGTGTTACCTGAGCCTCTCGGTATAAAGCCGGATTATAAGTGAGATATACACTTCAACTGAGTTACAAGAGCTAGACATTCCATCTCCTCTGGTTTATTTTCGCAGAACTCTTTTCGCACAAATATTTTTAACCATCTGGTCCATATGTAATTTGAGATATTTGCAAAACTCCGGACTGCAGGTGTATGCGGTGGGGAACGCACACGCGCTGTTGTCCTTACCTGGGAGCAGCGCACTTCACCACCACACATCTGGTCCATACTTTGCTCAAATTTTTGACTCGCTCATCTTCAGTAATCACTATGAATCAAGCAGATCCAGCATAGTTTCTACTTCCTTGACTATTAATTCGTTGATTAGGCAAGATTTCCTAACACTGGACTTTTTTTCCTTGGGCTTCCCACTTTCCTGCTAGTTAGTATATCGTTGCCACCAGCGCTGTCAATTTCACTCCTAACTGAGTTACCAGATGGAAATGTCAAATATCTTCTCAGGGAGGTTTGGAAGACCCTAATTCACATTGAATTTCGACATCCAGATGCATTCTGCCACCAGAACGGTTTTTAAACGATTTGCAGTAATCACTATATTTATGTTATATTTGGTGTAACATTGAGTCCATACCTTTAGTGTACTTGAAATGTGTCCACATCGTCCACCACTTGCGATGTCGAAGTCTTAGCTTATTTGCGAGCTCTTCAAACAAGCATTGATGAAATGTCTGGATTACTTCTTCATTTACGCACATTTACGTCGTGTTTATTTTGCATATCTTCCTTTTTCAGCAAGCACAGCCAAGGAGCTGGAATGCTGGCTAGCAGAAATACCTATCTACCAGCTTCAAATGTCGTTGATACTGCTAGGTAGGGCAGACTCTTTCCCATTTTTGATTCTAACCTCACGATATTCCTGACTAAACCACTAGAAAACAGATCCCTTGCTATTTCATTTTCGTTGCTGTTTGCTTCCGTAGTTTGTGGATAAGAACTGATGGAAAGTGTCAGCTTCAAAGATTTCTTGCGGTTGGATGTTTACTGGAATATGTCGTTAGCGTTAAAGGAAGGCTTTTTGTATCCGCGTGACACACTTCCTAATCCTTTGCCCACCGCGCTTGCAGGCTGACAGCCCATATCCTTGTATAGATTCATATCACATGCATTCAGCTTGATATTTGATATTTGAATGGCCCTTCTCCATTGGTTGTGTGAGCCCCAGCATAATTTCCACTTTTTGGAGTTTTGTTGGTTTAGGCATGGTCTTCCCCTGGCGTACCGAGGTCAGCCAGGCCAAAGTCTGCTGTAGGTCTTCACCACCTTAGACACCGCCCTTGTGGATCAGAATGGAATTCGCCACCGTGCGACTTTGGTACCAGGCGGTGGTGGATAACGGTATTCGTTTACGCTTACGTAGGCTTCCTGGTGGAAACGCCGGTCTCCTTCTCAGCTTGGGAGACCCTGCCAAGGGATGAATTCTCTGCTCTAGATCTCAGTCCGACATCCAGGAACATCTCCCAGCCACGATGACGCGGTAAAACATTGAGAGGAGTAGTATTTTTAGTATTGTTATCATTAACGTCAAAGTATATAGTTGATTTATTAAAGTACTATTTCGCTCTTTTCTAGCTGGTCTAATACCAGCTGATACAGCATGAATTGTTGACCTAAAAAGAAATCATCATTAGTCAAGAACCGTAGTGCATATAAAGGCGAGCAATGCTGCAGTCAAAATGTGTCCTACTTGATACGATTACGAAGACCCGTAACGAGAGGACGAACGACTGCGAACTGTCGACATTGGCTCTAAAAAAGGCGAAAACGTCGAAGCCTTAGCGAATTAAGAAGTTGTACCTCCTTAATCTGAACAGTATGAACAACCATATCAATTCAGTGTTTAACGTCCTTAACAAGTTTGGTAACGATTGCAGATTTTAGTGGAATGGAAGGCTTCGTAAGACCGGGGCGAGAGATCAAAACTAGGGACCGTTTAATGTGTACTGCAGAGTACTTTCCATTGCGTTGAATGCACCCGCTTCTGGTTACCACATAGGAATTCCACTCTCCCTCTTCCTTGTTTTTCTTATGTTTGTCTGTGCTCTTTCCGACGTGACAGTTTATTACTGTCACAGTTAAGATGTGGCCAACTTTTTATGGAACAACCAAGAGATCTGGAACGAGTCCAGTTGGTCCAACTCTTACCTGAGCAACTCTTCAACATAAAGCACTCTGGTCCCTGTTCTTTATTCCGCTGGTTTTGCAGAGACGTTTTTTAAAGACCTCCAGCACATTAGGCACTAGAGCGAATTTCCGGAAACTTTCTCAAAGGTCAAATCCACATTTTCACACGTTTTCCAGTTTTTTCTTTAATTCTAACCACGTCTTGAAACGAAGCGCGATCAACACAGATCTGAATAAGATTAAGCTCAGACAACACTTATATGGAATTAAGACTGCATATAAAGGATAAAAAATAAAGCTGTCGGCGTTGATCAATCCTTGAGGGATGTGCCATTTATTCGACTTCGTTGATCATCGTTTGGAGGTGATTGAATGCATATCTGGCCGTTACAATGACTCGCGGTGGCCAACCGATGTATCGTGTCAGTTTTGCTGTCCTCCTAGACAAATCTGGTACCAATTTGCCGATCCCGGAGGGATGCAAGGCTTAGAGGGCCATGGGCGCGGGGACTGATTCCACGTGTATGTTGCAGGGCGCCTCCGACCACTGTGCCACACGCGCCATTCTATAAAGACTCCAATATTTGAGTTAGAATACCAATTAGTTTTGCACAGCGCAAAATTTTTTTGTAAAGCACTTCGACTTTTTGAACTGCGTCTTTTCCTAATTGTTTATTTATTCATTTGGTGTGGTTTTAACTTTTTCTTTCTCTAATTCCTTCCGATTTGTTTTACTCTAGCCGGTTCATCCATGCTAATCTTAGTTTTTTCTCGTCTACTCTTACTGATAAATTCTTTGAAAGAGTAACTTTTTATAATTTTGACATATTATTTAATGGCCAGTCTTTTTTATGCAAAAGTATGTTGCGAAATATAACTTCAATGGTGCTGATATATTTGCAAAACTCCGAGCCGTAGGTGTCTGAGGCGGGGAACGAACGTGGTATTACCCTTTCTGGGGTCTAACGCGTTAAGCACCACACCATGCGGGTCTTTCGTTTTGCTAACAATCACCCGTCGGCGGGATTGATCTGAGGAGCCCAAATTGATAATGAACCCAGTTAAGCGGAGGCTGTAGTTATAATCACAATTTTCACTTATTATTTACTGCCTACTCCTTCGATTCTAACATAAGGGCACATCTTAGAGTCTTTACATTTCGATTAGTTCGCATTCCTAACATTGTAACCCACACCATCGTGGAGAAATGTTTATCAGAAACAACTTATAAGGTTTCTGAAATTCTTTATATACCGCGCATTAATAGTAATATAATGCAACATTATTTCACTATTTTACTTGTATGGACTTGCTATTATGGACTCACGTAAGTTAAAAAATTCCTTCAATTTATTATCATTTCAGAGTTATGGCCACCTCATCGGAGACCTTCTTTATCGTGTTCGCCGTGGTGATGTGCAGCATCCTGTTCTGCTTCACCGTCGGCATCATCGTGATTGTTCGTTGTTGCGAGTGCAACGACTTCAACGACCTGCCGAGTGTTGTTGTTGAGGTGAAAACGGATACCGGCTCAATAAAAAAAAAGAAAAAAGCACTTTGGAACTTAAAAGCTATGCAATTCTCAACAGATAGTTGTGTTTTGTTCGATTCTATTCGTGTTTCTAAAACAATCCTCCATTATGCTTTAACGTTTTGTTTTCTGCCTTCTATAATTTTCATGGCAGGTTACTAAGCGAAATACAACCACAATGTTGCTGAGATATTTGCAAAACTCTGGACCGCAGGTGTCTATGGTGGGGAACGAACGCGCTATTATCCTTTCCGGGGAGTAACGCGTTCACCACCACACCATGCGGGTCCTTTGTTTCGCACGTCTCTCAGCTATTTCTATCGATCTTTTTGCCACAGCAATCACCTGTCAGCGGGGTTGCTCCTCACAATCACAATCCTCCATGTTTGAACCACTGAATCCTTCAAGCATTCTTTTTTCCTTCACTGGCACTTTTATTCTTCGTTTTCATCACAAGAAACTTATCTTTCATTTTCTCTTACTTTTACCCGACCGGACATTACATATTGCCCTTTGCCAGTAGTTGTATTTAATTCATCCATCTTCCTGCACCTTCCACACATGAAAGCCTTCGAATTTGGAGGGCCGACTGCTTGAGATCTTTTTTGGCCTTCTGAATGCCACTTAATAGGTTTCGAGTCGATTCTTCCGCAGTTCTTCCTACACTACAAGCAGGTGCCAGCTTTTTTTTAGGATGTTCAGAAATAAATGAGCGCTTTAAAATATTTATTGTTATAAAGCATTTTTTTACCGGTAAAATATTCTTTATACCTTGTAATATTATCATGTCTTTATATTTTGTCAAAAGTTATGTCAAAAAAACTTTTTCTATCAATTTTGAGCTTTGCAGCTTTAGATGCCAAAAAAGAATTTTCGTCAAACTTTCTTTTATGAATTCAAACTCGGTCGTAGTGCACCAGAGACGGCTCGAAACATTAAAGAAGTTTGGGGAAAAGGTAGTGTTGATGAATCAACAGTGCGAACACGGTTCGAAAAATTTCGATCTGCTGATTTCGACCTTGAAGATAAGGAAGGCTGCCGACGTCTCAATGAACTTCACGACGACAAATTAAAGGCACTAGTGGAAGACGCGAAAAACTGTTCGAGGGCTTGCACGAGAGCTTGGAGTAAGCACAGGAACAATGTTCACTGACTAGAAACGCATAAGAAAGAGGAAAACTCGACAAGTGAGTGCCGCACGAAATAAACAATCGTCAAAAAATCGCCGTTTTGAAGTGTCGTCTGCTCTTATTCTGCCAAACAAAGCGACCATTTTCATGATCGAATTGTGACATACAACGAGAAGTGGACTGAGCTCGGTACAACAACCAGCGAAGTTAAGCCTGATGACTGGATTGTGATCAGGCTGCACAGCACTTCCTAAAGCCGAAATTGGACCAAAGAAGGCTATAGTGACTGTTTGGTGGCCTGTATCCGTGCTGATTCATCACAATTTTTGAATCCTGGAGAAAAACGATCACGGCAGAGAAGTATTGCTAACAAACGAAAATCGACGAAATGCGCCGTAAACTCTAAAAACAACGACCGGCATTAGTCAACATAAAAGGACCAATCCTTCTGCACGACAACGCCCGACCTCACAGTCGAGAATTTTATGCAACTAGAGTAAATAAATTTGCTTCCCGTTGGAAAAAGTATATAGATTCAAATGGTTTTTACTTTGGTTAATGAAGTTTTCTTTGAAGCAAGTTATGACATTTCAAATAATATAAATATTTCAAAACTGACTTTTGTTTAACCTCGGTGTTACTAAACAATATGCTATTCTTTCTTTAATGAGCTTACACGAGGTTGATAAATAGTCTTATTCGGCTAACGTTTCAACGTCCTCGTCTTCATCAGAGCCGACGATCCGAGTCGATAGCCCATCGTTTTTCTTCGTCTCGATGTGGCGTCTTCACCTTCGTTTCGAGTTGCGTCTTCCTCAGCGGACCATCTCTCGAATGAGGCATACTCACTTGGTGATGCCCTTTTATGCAGGTTGCTGATGGTTGATAACTGTGATTGTCCTTTGATAGTAACTTGTTTTCTCAGACAATCAATCCTGCAGAAGTCGGTATCATTATCAGTTAGAAAAGAGCAGTAACTTATTTACTTGGTACTTGAACGGCTCATCCTCACTAATTGCGCGGGCCCCTGCATAATCTTCATTTTTCGGAGATTTGCTGGTTAAGCCATTGTGGTTCACTGGAATCCCTAGGACAGCTTGGCCAAAGTCTGCCCCAAGAGCAGTAACATTATTTCGAAACCGACTTTCGTGGTCTTTCGAGAGATGGTACGCTGAGGAAACACAACTCGATGCGAAGGCGAATACGTCACATGGAAACGAAGAAGAACGGTGGACTATCGACTCGGGTCGCCGGTTCTGATGAAGTCGAACGTCTAAACGATAGCCGAGTGAAACTGTTTATCAACCTCGTGCAAGCTCATCAGTGAAAGAATACATATTAAATAATGTCGTTAACGACGCTCATTTATTTCTAAACAACTTAATAGTGTAGGGCGCGAGCTATAATAGTCTCATGCTGATTTCCCGACTTTAAAACGATGGACAAGCTGGTTAAGTCGGTATGGAGTCGGAGCTGGGCCCGACGCGTATTGAAGCGCATCACTGCCGCTGAGCTATCGACCTGCTAACCCAGGTCGGTGGATTTGATGTGTGATATAAATAAAACTTGACAACTCTCTCTACAGCCCTCTCTTATTTCTATTCTTTTCTTCCCATTTTGCAGCTTTTCTTCGTCATTTTCATGGAAACCCGACCAACATTTTTTCCAAACTCCGTGTAGCCTACCATCCAGGAACAGCCAATCACTTACAATGTTTAAAAAAAAGAGAATTCAGAATTTCGTGACTTGTCCAACGACGAAAAGAGTATGTTGTAGATTCCGTTTTTCTTGGCCTAACTATATCACCTATTGCCGATCAATAACTACCAGATTCTTTATCTTTCCGATCAATAGCTCCCGGTTCTTCATCCCTCTCTCCCGATTTCAAAACCGCCAAATAGGTATAGTTGTCCGAATCAAATACAATTCGTTGATTCTGTGTCAAACCAGCAAAATAATGGTGAGAATTCTCCAAAAATGCGCTTTGATTACATGTGCATGGTTTTCCAATTTTGAAATTTTTTGAGATGAAAATATCGCTGGTAGACAGCATGCAAATTCTGTGCTAAATGTGGTGACACCAGTTTTAACCTGTGTGAAGTGTCGTGCCCATGTCGACTGAAAACGATCACGATTATCGATTGTTTTCTGTGTTGCAGAGATCACGAAGTTCCAACTTCAGCTGTCCGTCGGATTGTGCAGAAGCGCGCACATTCAGCAGCAGATTGCTCACACCGGGACGAGCAAATCTCTATCATTCCACCACACCGTCATCAGTGCAATCGATATAAATCCTTGGAAATTTGCGAAATCAATAATGGGAGCATAGTAGATGACGTAAATTGATTGAGTGGTTTCAATAGAACCAATAGGCTTGTGCTTTATTTGTTAATGGTTAATATGATTCTCAAAAGAAAACTACTAATGGACCTTTTAAGAGGAAGCATAATGTGGCTATTACACGTGTCTCATAGGTGTGTTAAATATAACAGCTTTTGTTGTGGTGATCGTCATTTTTTACAGAAGATTCTAGGTTTAAGCGTTCCGATTCCTCTCGGATTTCTGGACGGGTTGAGTGTAGGCTGCTTCTCACATATTCATAGCGGTTCTCTTTCTGATGTGGAATTTGAAAGCGACAAAGATAAACTGATTATGTAAGAACTTGCGTGACAGACATTTTCACTGAGTGGAGTTCATTATCTAGTTGGTTGGAAACATATGAATGCGAATAAAAGAAGTCTACAAGATAATGTTAACCCTTTTATTTACTTGATACTTGATATTTGAATGACCCGTCCTCACTGGTTGAGCGGGCCCCAACATAACCTCCATTTATCGGAGACTTGCTGGATAAGCCATTTTGGTTTCCTGGAATCCCAAAGTAAGCCTGGCCGAAGTCTGTCCCAGGTCTTCACTACCACAGGCAGTTGCAGCCCAAGTGTATCGGAGGGAGATTTTCCACCACACGACTTTGATACCAGGACGGTGGTAGATCCTGGTATTCGTTTACTTTTAGCTACGCTTTCCGATGCAAATGCCGGTTTCATTCTCAGCTTGGGAGATCTTGTCAGGGCTTTACACTACAGTCCGACACCCAGGAATACCTGGCAGCCACGATGAGGCGGTAAATCGTTGGGAGGAACCCTTTTATTTACTGCCTATTACTATTTTTCACAGCAGGGTGATGTGAAATCCAACTACTTTAATGCCAAGCTATTTGCAAAACTTGGATACCAGGTCAGGTCGCATCGCGATTACCACCTTGGAGGAACACGTGTAACGCAGGGCATTACTTAGGTCCTTGCTTCGCCTTTCTCTCAGTCATCTTAACCTGGTTTAATGCCAGTTTGTGTTCACCAGATCAATCCCGTTGATGGATGATTGCTGGAAGCATTAGGTAAAAAAAACTGGCTAATAGAGAGGCAAAAAATGGGCCTCAGTGCTGCGGTATGTAACGCGTGAACCCCCGTAAAGGGTAGTCTCGACTCGATCTGGCCTTGGGTCCATGTTCTACAAATATTGGTAAGTTTATCACTTTGCTATATTGGCACAGGTATTGGATATCAATTGCTGAGCGGCTTTAAAAATCAACTTTTTTTAAAGCTCTGCACGATTAGTGAAGAATTTCTTAGATAATGAAGGTACCACGACGTTGTTATAAATCACTTATATGATTAACGTCTCGACGTCTTCGTATTCTTCAGAGCCGATGATCTGAGATGATGGCCACAGTCGTTCGTCCTCGAATCCCTTTTCAGGTTAAATCTTCTACAGTGTTGTATAGTCGAATGAAATTTCCTCACTTGGAGCGAGCTTTTTATACAAGACCGTTGTTGTCCTCTACATCGAATAACTGCGGCTTTGAGGAATGAGAAGACAAAGAAGCGTTGGCCGAATAAAAATTTCATGACAACTTCGTCTTAATTTGGTCCTCCAGGCAAATACTCGTTAATTACGAGAGTGACAGCCTTGTCCTAAGCTTTCAACGACTTATACAACAGTGATAATAGTGAAGATAGTAACTTCGAGAAC